ATCTATATATATACTTATATACTATTTCGTATAGCTTCGAAGCAATCAATGAGGTGTTTGTTATATTACAACTACACTATCAGGAATTGTCGCAACAGGCACTTACTAATCACCACCATAAATGCGAATTTTTCTTAAACTTTTGATAAGTTTATCGTGTTTTTTTTTTCGCATTGCATAATAAAATATTATCAAAATTCCTGCCTCTATATATAGAAATGTCGTTCAGCTAATTTAGCGCACGCCTTTAATAAGTAATTCAAAATGGATAACTGTTTACAACGGAAGTCTCGTCTTATATTGCTTTCGTGCCGTTTATCAATAGCTGATTAGACTGTACTTTAGCTATAGCCATTATTAGCTTGCCTCAACAGTAATGAATTTTCAAATAGAGCCAAACAATCAGCAGAAATTACGAAATTATCACCGAGTTCGCAGTTCCTCAAATGATAAGGTAACCCAACGGAAGCCAACTTATAAAAATAACAACTCACTATAAACAATCAACAATTAGCAATTTAATATGCACTAACATGAATGCCGAACAGGCTAAGGTATAACACTTGAAGTGTATAACAGTTTAACTAGAACAGTGCCATCAATAAACTCATAAATTCTTAATACGCTCGACATTGCTAATCCATTTACAAAATTTACATATGTACATACATATATACATACATTTACATATGCATACACATACATACATTCATAGCTGACTTTGCTGTATGTAGATATGATTGTGTGCAACTTTATTTTACGGCACTGTCAGCAACTATGCCTCACACACACAAACACAGACACACTATACACACACTCACACCCGTACTCATGACAGGCAATCGGGTATCGTTTTTAATTAAGCTTCAATTAATTTGAAACGTTTTCAGGCTACATTTCAACTTGCCTTGCAAAACACGAAATGCTGCGCTTTCAATTCAATATTTACACATACATATGCACAAACATATAAACAGCAATTGTATGTGAGTTTTTGGTTAACCACTCAAAAAATATACAAATAATTTTTCTTTTCAGTTGCTAAACACGCACAACTGTAAACCAGTTCAACTTCAAAACAACTAAACACACCGTTGCCGTCTGTTCAAATGCTCTCGCTCTCGCCGCCTAGCCGTGCCAGGGTCTGATATTGGTCTGACAGTTAGCGTTTGCCTTTCGCTGGTCATTTTCGTGAGTAAGTCGGACTACGAGCGCGTAATGTGTGGGTGCTAGCAGTTTCTGTCTCTGTTTGCCTTTCGCAATAATGCATACAGTATGTAATTGTCAATGTGTTAGTGTGAGTGGAGGCGCGGGCGCAACAGCAAACGCACGAAACGGGTGAGTCTTAATCACATTTTAACGAAGCAACAGCAATTCGTGTCTCACGCCAATAGCGTTGACGACCCCCATGAAACAACGCCCATGCTAGGCGCAGTTAATATCTCTACGGCAACGAAGTTTCGTTAAAATATTTTTTTTTGTTTTGTTTGTTTTTCTCTCTCATGTATGCTTGCTCTTTTCGTGAGCTCACTTTAGCATGTGTGTGTGTGACGTTTAATTTGGTAATTTTTTAACTATTTTTTTCCTACTATCTCATGACTGCTTTGCTAACTTCTATTAATGAGGATCAGGCGTTTTAAGTTAAGCAGATCACGAATTGTTACGCAACCGATAGTACTATTGATAAACAATAGGGAAATATAAAATAGAAAATATTTAAAAGCCTTGCCCAGACATTGATAACCAGATCAAATGTTACATAAGTGGGAAATTCTTCTGGAGTACCTCGCAAGCGTTTACTCCGCTGAATAAGTGCAATACTTCAAATATCGTGGAATCTCTAATCTACAGAATTTATAGACTTTAATTCCATAGGCAAATATATGAAAACGATCCGCCAGAGCTCTAATCAAATTGATTGATTGAGGTGCTTTTGAAGTTTTATGATCGGTCTATAAATCATAATTCAATTGAATTGGATGAAACTCTAATGCCAAGAGCTACTTGTGAGTTGCTTAAATTAATTTGAACATGCATTCAAAAGATGTTCTCTGGGAAAAATGCTGGTCACATGATATGGAGATTGCATAAAACTCAGCTCTGTAACGCCACTGTCCGCACACACACACACACACACACATAAATATATATAACGTGCGTGAGAGATACACACAGATACACACGCAAACAGATACTCGACACAACTACAGTTAACACTTAGTTACGCTCGCTGTGGACAGGTGGCGCGGCATTTACTTTGACACAAGTCTCATGACCGTTTGCACTACTGTGATGAGCTCTGCTCACGTGCATGCAGAGTAATTGTTGAATTCTTAATTATAGCATTTACTTTTTAATTTTAACACTCGTTTTCATGCACACGCATACTGTCTAACTTTTCTTATTGTTTGGCAGAGGATCACCTTGAAGTCACACGCGAATCGAGTTATGCATAGTATAGAAAAATACATTTCTCCTTGTTTGGCTGTCTACCCTACCGATAATTTATTTGTCGTTTGAAACTTTTGTTTATGGCTTGCTTACCTTTGCAGCTTTGAGACTGTTTGTTTTTTTATACAAAATATTTAAGATTCCCCAAGCGTACGTGCGTTAAATTTAGAACTTGTTTAGCCCGTTGCGCCTGCCTTTGTATAGGTTGTTAAAACGATCTCGACGCAGCCAGAGGAGCACACGTCTGGTCAATACCAGCGTTCAGTTGCTTGTGATTTTAAGTATTTAGCTGAGGCGAGCGCCGACATCAGCGAGCTCACGCACACATACAAACACTCTCTCTTTCTTTCTCATTCTATCTCTCTCTGACTGTATCTCCCGCTCGTAACTTTACTTTGAGAAGTATCTCTGTGAGAGTGGTGGCGGCCTCCAAGCATGACAAATACATACGCATACGTACACACATACCGCATATAAATATGTCTGATCAAGTTTTTTTTCTCTTATCAGAAATCGAAATACAAAAGTCCAAGCACCCGCAAGTGATATATGTATGTACATATGTATATTTGTATAAATATTGTATATGTGTTGTTTGTTGTACGAAAAAAGAGACACTATCAATAATATAATTAACAACGTCTTAACATAGTAATTCCCAGGGCTCGATAAGCCAGTTGATATTGATTGTGTCAGTCTTATAAATCGTCTCTAATATTACCCCAATACCAGAATAAATACGATTCTTAGCAACACAATACGTTAATTTCAAATTTGCACATATATACATATATATGCATATGTGGTTATTGCTACCAGGGCTGCCATAGTGAGCAGCTGCTGTGGTGGCTGGTCGATATTTTTGTTTTGCTCATTGTTCGATATGTTTCTTTTTGTGCAGCTGCTTAATTATTGAGAAAATTATATTCCATTTTAATATTGAAAAAGCTGTAGCATGTCCTATGACGGCTACACCCAACTGCCTAGCGGCAGCACCGATCACGACCGACGTCAACAGCAGGTGATAGCAAACACCTACGATGTCCTGCAGCGCACCACCCAAAGCATTCAGCGCTCTAATCAGGTGGCCATCGAAACGGAAAATATAGGCACCGAGGTATGATGACAAATAATAAACATATCGAATATATTCAACAAATATCTATATATGCAGGTACTTGGCGAACTGGGGGAGCAACGTGAATCACTGCTGCGCACTACTCGACGTCTCGAAGACGCCGATCAGGAATTGTCGAAATCTCGCATCATTTTGCGAAAACTGAGCCGTGAAGTTATCTACAATAAGATTGTTTTAATATTGATAATTTTCTTAGAAGTAGCCATACTCATTGGCCTGCTGGTCTTAAAGTTCGCCCATCTATAGAGGCGAATCATTGAATTCCAAAGCTATATTCGGAGTGAATATGGATTTTATTAAGTATTTTGTTTTGTCTTATCTAACATACATGTTAAACCCATGCCTTAGACATATGTATATGTATATAGAGTTAGGATAATGTAAATCGTATATGGAGCGATATTAATAAAACACAGCTAACAGTTATGAATCCCTTGTCTACACACATTTTACAAATTGTATATAATAGGATAACAATAGTTATATACATATATATTCATGTATATATCGCGATTATTTGGCATAAAACAAATTGCATGCTACATGGAGACGAACGTATCTAAAAAAAATAGTTGTTCACATTAGCATAATACTTGATATACATACATATACGACAATTTAAGTTGAATACTCGCGCCTCTATTTGAGATAAAATGACACGAAAATGATGTGTTCGAGGGATATTCGCTTTCATGAGGACAATCAAGTAAAAGCATTAAAATCGTATTATATTTTAGTTGTATTTTTGGTCTGCAATGCAGCTCAGCGTTTGAATAATTTTCAATTATCCTTTGGTAAGACTATGGACCAGCCAAACACGCGTCGATCGAAGCCGCACGAGAACAGGTCACAATTTAAGACGGGCTCCTCTGACCAGGCCACTGATGAGACCATGCGTCTGTGTCCCTGGCGGCTGGTGCGAGGCAGGCGAGCGACTCGCTGTCCATTTAAATCGAAGAGACGGATCTGCCGATTATCGTGGGGTATTGCTATGATGCCGCCACTGGAGACAGCCAGGCGATTTACGGATGAGTCAGTCCGTATGGTGGCAAGCGCGGAGCGCATATTGCGCAGCTCCCACACTTTGATGGTGCGATCATCCGAGCCCGAGACGACTTTATCGTTGCGCGCAAAAACGCTCGAGGTGACCGTCTCGGTGTGGCCCTGGAAGACGGATACGGCGGGTATCGGATCGCGGAAGTCCCATAAACGGAAGGTTGTGTCACGTGAGGCGGTCACAACTAAACGCTGTGTGGGATGTGCCGAGACATGGGTAAGCTCGTGATCATGGCCGGTCAGCGGTTGCAGCGGCTGTGCCGTCTCCACGTCCCAAAGTATTGCCGTGCGATCCCAACTGCCGGTGATAATCTGATCCATGCTCGAGAGCCAATCAGCAGCGACCACAACTGAGAGATGCCCACCGGGTCCGGTGAACTCACAAAGTGGCGTACGCAAAGAGTCAACACGTTCGCGATCCTCTAGCTGACCATCACTATCATCAAGCTCCTCCTCAGAGGAGTGTCCTTTCCTAAAAGTGGAAGAGTTAAATATTGGCCATTTGGATTTTATTCGCAATCTCTTACTTGGGCACTTCCCAGTTGACGGCTGCTTGCCAGATGTGTGCGGTACCATCGCCACTGCCGGTCAGCACCAGATCCCGACATTGATGGAACTTAATGGAGTTGACGGATCCAGCGTGTCCCTGGTACTGCAGCAGGCAGCGGCCGCTCTCTATGCCCCAAATGCAAGCGGTGTGATCAGCGGACGCTGTGCCTATGATGGGCTGACCCACTTTAGCAGCCACCTGCCAAATGCCATCCTTGTGGCCGCCAAACTCGCGCACCACCGAGCTTACCACTGTCTGAGCCTTGAAGCTGGAGACGATTCGACTGGTCTGTGCCTTAATTTTATTGCTGGCCTTCACCTTGCTGCCACCTGTGGCGCTGCTCAGCTTGGCCTTGAGACTCTTGTGTGTGCTGGAGGCAGCTGCTAGCAAACTGGCACCAATTTCGTCGCCTAGAGGAGCGGAGGGTGTAGCAGGCGTGGCTGCCAGCGAGGCGCCACCACTGCCTGTGGCAACGAGCGCTCCGCCTGCTGCGGAACGTTGATCGTACGGTGTCAGTGACTCTTTGGTAATTGCGGTGGCATTTTCCAGCTTATCCTGAACTGCAAACAACAATTGGCCAATAATTTACTTTATATTTACATTTATTTTGTTAGCTTTTAATCCAATTCGATTCGGGTCTATACTCACGATTGAGGTTCTCCAAGTAGAGCTGTTCGAACTCCTTCTCGATTTGGGCAAACAGGTAGTGGAGGCGGCTGCGAAATGGCGCATCCTCGGGTATTATGGATGCGTCCTCGGTGAGACTGGTTAGCCGCGTTTTTGCTGCTGCCGTCGATTTCATTTTAATGTTTTTGTTTTCCCTGTATATTTGTTTCTTCACGTTTGCCAGTTTATTTCTGACTTCCGCAGCAGAGCGTTTCCCGTCACCTGCGTTCTTGCTTAAAATCCAATTAGTGGATAGTTTTAATGATAGTCGTTCGACCTTTATTGATCCAATTCCATATTATATATATACATAGATATATATTTGTGTTGCATGAATATTTTTCTTTCGGTTTTTATCTCTTACAGTGTTGGGAAACATGCAATTGCGAAATGCAAATCTTTTACAGCACTGTGCATGCAAGCAGCAGCTGCATGAAAACATTCAAATACAAACAGCTGATTGGCTTAACCGTAATGTGAGCGCAGTGTCATATTGAATGTCTATTGACAGTTTTACGTTTTCATTATTATTATTTCAATATACTAACAATTTAATTTTTATTATCTGATTGACTATTTCTCATATAGTTAAGCAGTCATATTGGACAAAAAAGAAAAAGCATTTACATATGTGACTTGGTTAACAGAGTAAACAAACAATTATTACAGCTGCTATGCTGCTCAGCTGACTCATTCACATAAGGGTTAACATTTGTTTTCATATTTACATTACTTGGCCACATCGCTGACGCGGAACTGACTGCCAAACAAATAAACATAGATTAAAGAATTTTATTAGTTTTAACAGCTATTCAACAGATAATTGAAAATGCGCAAAACATGGGTGAAACGAGAAAATATATATTACAAGCCATTCTACAAGGATAAATCGAAAATGTTTTTTCTCCTAATATTTTTTGTTGGAATCTCATTCATCGCCTATCAGGTTGGAAAAAGAAATCGTGTTTTTTTTGCGCGTTTTTATTAATATACATAAATTAATAATAGGCCTTCTCGCTGAATCAGTTGCCCAGCGTGCAGCAGCTGCGACGGAAGCACAAACAAATGATGCAGTCTCTGGGTAGCAAACAGCTGGACGTCGACGACTTCGATGGCGGAGGCGGCTTTGGTCCTGGTAAGGATGCCGATCTGGCTGTGCCAGCAACACAAGCTGCCGATGCTATTAAGATTATACGGTATGTGTAAATGTGGGTGTATAAATTTTTGTGTGCTATTTGACATATGTTTAATTATGGCCACGTCTACCATTTTCAGGGGCATACGACTCTTCGACTACGACGCATACAAGCCCAATTACAAGGGCAATTTCAAGTGTCTGGATGGCAGCAAGGAGATACCGTTCGACCATCTCAATGACAACTATTGTGACTGTGTTAGTGATGGCAGCGATGAGCCCAGCACGAATGCCTGCTCCAATGGGCGCTTCTACTGTAAATACCAAAAAAGACATATCACGGGCCGAGGCCTGGACGTCTGGGTTTGGGCCTCTCGAGTAAATGACCACGTGTGTGATTGCTGCGACGGCAGCGACGAGTGGACGACAAATGCCAACTGCCAGAATCATTGTGCGTAGTGTTTTGTTTGTGTTTCGTGTGATTGGCTTAGCAGGACACCGAAAAACAACAAATCAAAACAAAACAAAACAAAGCGACTCGACAGCTATCTCATGCGCATCTCAAAGATTACTCCATTTAGTTGATAAAAGTGCATCACAACTGATATTTTTTGTAGAATATTTTACGATAAACGTGTAATTTATTTAAACACAAAAAACAACAAAAAGGTAACCAAGCATTACATATAAGTAGATCGAATAGAAATACGTAATTCATAAAGATTTTCAAACAAAAAATATGTGATTCGAAACTTACTATTTGGCTTTTCCAATTGGAAATCCGGTCTCCTGGTCCAGCTCCTCGCCAACCCCCAATAAAGTGCGTTTATGCTTAATTTCATTTATTACTGGACACGCTAGAATCAGAAGCCTGCTTTACATAGAAGTCTATTTAATTATTATTATTATTATTATTTATTTTTTATAATGAAGGTATCATTCCAGTTGATATCTCCTCATTTGTGGTTTGGGACTTGCAAAATACGTATTTACTTACTTTCAAGCCGTACAATTTTTACTGACAATTTTGAACTGCAAATTCTAAAAGGTACGAAACTGTTTTTTTTTTTTGTTTTGTTTTTTTCTTTTTATAGATTACTAGCAATAGTCTGTGAGTAAAGATTCGCAATCCCTTTGTATGCTGCGTGTAGGAGACTGTTTTGCATTTTTATTTTGTATATGTATGTAGTCGGGATTTGATGACTCTCTTTTATCTTTTTATATTAAGGAACGTTTCTGCAAATATTTAGTTCTTGCTTTTTTATTTTGTTTTATTTTCATAGAGTTGGTCTACTTAGAATTTTGTAGTACAACATTGAACTACGTACACAATACATAGAGCAAAATCGTTTGTTTTCCTTTGTAATCTTACAAAATTCATTAAATAAAGTACAATAAAGGCATTACTATTATGATTAATTGATTCTGTAAGCCTATTTTTGTTAAGGTTTTGGAACTTAAATTATGCTTACTTAACGCTAAGTAATACTTAATCAGAGTTTTTCATTTTCATTTTTTGCTTTGTTTTTATTTTTATTGAATATTGTTTGGATACTTCCGGCTCTATGTTTTTGTGGATATTTTGATTTTTTTTTGTTTTTTTTTTTTTTTTTTTTTTTGTAGAAATTCCTGTTTATCGAAATAGTTGTTTCATTTAAATGCGTAGGCATTTTAAAGAAGGTTGGAAGTGGAAAGATTGTGTGTATTAAGGGGAAATGTATAAAAGTAAGAAAGATGTATTATTATTGCACTGACGAGATTTTTCTTTTCTTAAGTCTGATAGTATAAAAAGGGGGGAAAGTAAAAAAAAAAATAAATAAATATTTTTGGACAATACGCATAAACTATAGAAAACAAATGTACACTTAGAATCTGTTTCAGCACAACAATTGACGCGACCTTAGCTTTACATAATTGGTATAAAGAGAGAGAAATTTCAGTTGGGGACACAACTTAGGCTACCTTAAGCCATAAATTAGTAGCATAAAATATATTTCTGTATAGATAGTTTATAATTAGGTGTACAAGTCTAACGGCAAAGCGTATAATACAATTTTTGCAGTTTGCGTTTCGTGCGACATTGATGGTGATTGTGCGAATGATTTGGCTGCTGGTGATGGTGGTGGTGGTGATGATGGTGGTGATGGTGATGATGATGCCTGTGAGAGTGCTGATGTGAATGTGCCTGTTGCTGAAAGTGTGTCCGTGCTGTGGTGTGTTGCTGCTGCTGTTGTTGCTGCTGTTGCTGTTGTTGCTGCTGTTGCTGTTGTTGCTGCTGCTGCTGCTGTGGTGTATGGCTTTGATGATGATTATTTACAATACTCGCCGTGCAGGCCGTGCTTGAAGTCGAAACAGCACTGAGAGCCACCGCAGAGGAAATCAGTGCCGCGGCCAAGCGAGAGGACGCCGACGACGAGGCGGCATCCGTTGATAACAGCAGTTGTTGCTGCTGCCGTAGCTGCTGCAGCTGCAATCGCTTAGCAGCGGCGGCGCCCTTGCGCATCGCATGTAGACGCCGCCTATGGTGGTGTGGATGCAATTGAAGCTGTCACTTTGCCTCATCGCTGGCATCGAGCAGATTGTTGCTAGCTCCGCTCGAGCCATTGTTTGTGGCCACAATGGGCTGCTCATGGCCGGGCTGCTGCTGCAACTGCTGCTGATTGAGGGAATGGACGTGCTGACAGAATGCCTGCAGCACCTCAAAGTGCGTCATCAGATTCGCCGGCTGGTTATCGTAGTGCAAGTGTCGCGTGATGGGCGCATTCAAACGTCGCAACATCTCGGTGAACAGCTTCTCCTCCTTGCGTATCCAGGGCCGGCGATCGTCCTGCACCTGGTAAGGTGTGAGGTGCACATGTATGTTCATGCCTGAAAAGTAAAATGAAATTAATACTGGAACTCAAAAAAGTAGCAGGCAAACAGACCCATTCGCGTTAGCGTCTCCAGCAGGCTGCGTGATGTGATCCATGTGTTCTTCTGCCCGCCATGCCCGCCGTCCAGCCAATACATGTCCGTTATGCGCGAGAGCAGCCGGCACATGCTGCTGTCATCGGGCGTCAACGTTTTCAGATAATGAAACTCATAGATGAACTGCAAGCAAACGCGCATCAATAAATGTTTAAATGTTTAAGTGAGAGTTTTCGTAAGATTGGATTGATAACGTTGTAATAATTTGTTAGCGATTTTTACACCAAATGTGACTCACTTGATTGAGCACGACGCAGCCCTTGCTGAAGCCTATCAGCACCAGCTTGGACTTGTCCAAGTTCAGATTCTCCCGCCACCACAATGGATTATTCTCGGACGTTGGCGTCGCCGGTCGCGGCTGCTGCGGTTGCGTTGGCAGCGACGGTTGCCGATCAGCGGCGCAATCATTGCTGCTGTTTGTTGTGTTGTTGTAGTGATCCACATTGTTCATTGGCGCTGACGCTGTCTTAACAACTGTCTGTTGCGGCTGCTGTTGTTGCTGTTGCAGCAGCTGTTGTTGTTGCAGCAGCTGTTGCTGCTGCTGTGGTTGGTTGTTCGACTCTTGATGATTGTTAAGCAGAGCATCTTTATTGTTGCTATTGTTGACATTGCCACCATTGTTAGTAGCTGTGCTCGCCTCCGTGCTGCCAGCGGAGACGATGGGAAAGATCACGGCACCATCAGCATCCACAGTCACATTCTCCTGCACCTGCAGTATATCTATGTCCATTTCCTGACTGCTGTCGTTCGCCGCTGCTGCCGCCGCCGCCGCTGCGGCAGCTGCTGCTACTGAGGCTGAGCTGGACTCTGAGTTCACAGTGGCATTTGAGAGCGTCATGGCAGCTGCTGCTGCAGCAGCAGCAACGGCAGCCGCTGCGGCCGCCGCCTGGGCTGCCTGGTCGAGTATCTCGTTTTCGGGTATTGAGATCAGGCGTTGCGATAGATTCTGTAGCAGTCTGTGGGACAGAAAACGAGATAATTGCGATTATTAAGAACTCATATATCAATAGACCTAAAACTCACTTTTCTAAATGTTGCAGCGCGTGGTTCATGGGCGTATGATCCGGCACACCTGCATTATTTCCACGTACGAAATTATCAAAGCAACTGAAGGTCTTGAATTCCATGCTAAAAGCAAAGGGCAAAAGCAGAAATTAGTCAAGCTAATAATCAGATATCGCATTTGATATACTTACCGAACCGGTCGTATGACTATAATGTGGGAGCGCGGAAAGGCTTCGCGCAGCAATATCGCAGAGTTCTCCAGATTGTATTTCATGTAGCCGCGGCTGTCGCGGTTCGTTTCCATGCTCTCCGGAAAGTCCTGCACATCGCCACCAAAGTAGATAATTGCCTTGGAGTCATCCACATGCTGCGACTGCTGGCGCACAATCGGCGGACAGTAGACAATGTCGTTGGCGCGGTTCTGAAAACCGGCCACGGAGAATATTCGAAATGGACCGGCCGAAGTGCTTGGCGTGCATAAACGCTCCCCGCTGCTGCCGCCAAGCATGCCCTCGAAGTTTCGAATCCGCTCTTGTAGTTGCAGAAATTGATCAATGGTGAGCTGAGAGGAAGATGAGAAGCATCAGAGAGCAATCCAGGCAATACTTTGAGCAGAGTCAGCAGCAACCACCCAGACATACACACACCCACTCACACACACACACACACACACACACACACACACACACACACACACACACTCCTAGTAATAATCACTCTCATAGAAATCGCGAGGATCGCCACAGCAGCCAACGAAACGATGTCGCGTATCCTCCACACACAGTTTGGCATCCTCCTTCATCTCCTTGAGCTTCACCTTCACTTCCTCGCGCATCAGGTTGCCACACATGGCCACCAGACCCATGCCCAGCAGCATGTATATGAAATTGATTGCCAGCTTGAACTGCTGGTCGGTGATGCGCTGCAGATCGGACACCTCATTGGGATCGGCGGAGATGTCTTCGCGCAGCTTCTGTGTGGCTGCGTCCACATCCGCTGCTGTGGTCAGCGAGGCGCCCGGCACAAAGTCACCGAAGCCGATCTTGCACAGCGACGTCATGCAAAAGTAGAAGCTATTCAGAAAACTCCACTTCTCCCAGTTGGCGAACATAATGGTGCCCGTCAGCACATAGAAGATGATGACCCACAGACAGGCCGTCGACGGCACAATGATCTTCTTGCGCAGCGTCAAGGCGCCCAGACTGCCGCTCTCGAGCGCCTCCAAGCGTGCATCGTAGTTGCGCTCCTGGGTGCACTCGTGCATGGAGCGATAGAGAAACTTAAAGGAGCGCGCCAGCACACGGCCCATGTTGAGGAAGTAGAGTATGTAGAGGGGTATGCCAAAGGTGGCGTAGATGACAGTGAAGCCCTTGCCCCACGGCGTGCGCGGCACCATGTTCCCATAGCCAATCATTGTGATCACCGAGAGGCAGAACATCAGCGCCGCCGGAAAGCTCCAGATTTGCGCCGGACTCCGGCCCACATAGCCGTTCTTGATGATCGCCGCGATTTGCACCTGGTAGGCCTGCAGCACGGCATTCGTCTCGTTCACCCAAAGTTTTTTATCAATCAAATTGAGCTCCTCGGTGATGTTCCACAGCCGTTGCGAGCAATTGTAACGCAGGCTGAGCACCACCTTGGCCGTCTCGTCCACATACTTGCGCTCGATGTTCATAAAGGCCAATGCGCCGCAGATGGCATAGAACACAATGAGCGCGCCCACGCCCACCTGTGTGCACATGAAGGTGACAAAGTTCCTGCAGCAGCGCTTCACACGTTTGCGCGGCTGATTGCTGGCCGTCGACGAGACGGTGGACGCCTCCACGCCCAGCATCTGGGGGGAGCTGCGTTGAAATTTGTTCGACATGTCCGCCAGTGGCCAACGGCAATTACATAGTTATATAACTCTATGCTGGATCAATTCTCACTTCTCCTCACACTAGATATATACATATATGTATATTTGGGAATATATATGTTTATTAAAATCGACAAACTATTTCGTTTTATGTGCAGTTAATTGGAAATTTGCTTTGGCTATTCGTGCCCGAATGGTCGAAAATCAGCACAAATGCTATAAATAAATCCACGCACTGCCGCCACACAGCATTTTCCGCCTAAACGAGTCTCTTGGCCAAATGCGCCGCGTGCCGAGCGATGTGGATGCGATCGATGCGGCCGCCAAAATTCAACTGTTTGCTCTAAGCTCACTCACAAAAAACAAACTCAACTGAACTAGAATTTCTCTTGGGCAGGCAAAACCACAAAGCAATAGCAACAACAATATTTGGAAAGAGCATCGCTAGGGATTCAATGGAATTATTTTTGGGCTACAGTAAAAGCGCCAAAGACGAACAAATCCCTTGGGAACACAGCCAAAAATAATGTTTCCAACAAATTTATAAAAATGTACATTCAATTATCAAAGTAGTTGTAAGCGAGGGTAGTTAAAAGAAATGGTCAGAAACATAAAATTGAAAATTTTAATTATTGAAAGAAAAAAGATTAGATAGATATTTCAAATAAAAAATAATATATAAAAATTCACATTTTGTATATTGTTTTTTAATTCTCTTAATTCGCAAAACTTTCAACTACCCTCGCTTAGTATACATTAAACACAAACTGCAGAGAAGACATGTACATATTCCTTCACATTTAGCCAGTCATCACTGTACACACTCACACACAAACACACACATCTTATTTAACGATTTATGAACTATGGCATCGAAAAATAGAAAATTCATATCTCAAGAAATTCTATTTACATTTTAGGTTTCGAAGATATTTACGCTATGGCGCGAGTGCGCGCTGTGGGCGTGCGTCTACGAAATGTCTTTGATTAATGAATCAAATAGTTTTCATGCTAGTGAACGTAGTACTACAGACCCAAATACATGCATACATACATACATGTATGATAGATAAATGCAGTGAAAAATTATCGCGGATTATTTATGCGTTTATCACACGCAGTTGAAAGACCAATAACAATAAGCAAAAGCACAACAAAGTGTCTGCAAAATATAAACAAAGAATAAAAAGCGCGAAAGAGAGCGCAACAGCAAAAAAAGAAAATAAATAAATCTGACCCACAGTGAGACCTAAACAAGCGAACTGATAAGAACAAAAAAATAAAAATAAATAAATAAAAACATTTGCATCATATATATATATTTTTTTTCCTAAATTCACTTGCATAACACTTTTCTTAACAAATAAAATAAAAAAAAAAAACAGTAAACAAGAAGAAATTGAAATAATAAACACTGATTTTAAGGGTCGTTAACATTCCGCTTAGCCGGTTTAACCTGTACACAGACAACAGATACACAAGAAGAGGCACGAAGATCAATGAATGCGCAAAAAACGGGTCAGCGGCGGTGGTTTGCGGTAGGCAAGAGTTGCATTACGTGGGCGTCGCATTAGGGGTGTTCACGCCAGCTAGCCGCCGTGGGAAGTGCCACGAGTGACTGGGAAGGGGGTAGGGGGTCGGCCAAAGGAGGCGCTGCAACTGCAACAATTCTGCTCAGCAATGACCCTGAAGAT